AACTCCTCTCTGGAAATACTGAAGCTGAAAACATCACTCTGAATGCAGACATCTCAGGATATCTGGCCTGTTCTGTCAGGAATCACGTCAGTGGTGTCTGTGGTGAGCAAGAATATGAAGAAAAAGATACTTGATAATGATGATACTGATGACTATTATCACTGTTTACATTTATTAATAAATCATCTGTTTGTTCATAGGCCTCATATTCAGTCACTGCACCTCGTCCAGTGGAACACAAATGTCAAAGTGGGTGCATGAATCCAATAGGAACGTGTGTTTTCAACCACCAAGTGCCCCTACCATGAGTAAGGATACTAGCGTCATGTCAATTAAACCCTCCATTAATACCACATCCTTCAATCAAAGTGTGACTCAGCAGAATTGAGCCATGGTACAATAAGTGGAAACTCTCCTGTCATGGCTCTAACTTGACATGTGATTTCTGTGTCTCTGAACAGATCAGTCTCTGCTCGTATGTGGTTTGCAAGCAGGAGTGTTCATTCTGTCGGTAGCTGCGATTTACGTCTTTTTCACCTGCAAGAGAAAGAAATGCAAGAAAGCTGAAGCCCCTGCTGTCGCACAAACCACCGAATATCCAGAGAACTCTGTTGTGATGGTTGAAATGTGAAGTTCTGCATCTTAAACTCACGTCACGTTTTACCTGCTGTGATTTGTCACGTGCCTTCCTGGGTGAGAAAATAGTGACTTTCTGTCCTGGTTTCATTCTTGTCATAGCTTAGTAGCTCACTATTAATTCCCACATGAACGTTCTGTGAGTGTTTTCTGAATCTGTACCACTGTGGAGCTCTGATCCAGCAAAGGTTTTGTATACAGTGATCACAGGTGGAACAGTCTGGCTCTTTTTATTTGTCACTTTACTGGCTGTTGATGAAAGTGGAATCAGAGTGTGATTTAATTAGAAATAATCAAGGAGGAAAGATTGACTTCTTGTAAACTGTTCAGAGCACAACCACATTTGAACAGTGATTAAACATCCAGATGCCCACAGTGCCACCTGTGATCCCAGAACAGAGAACACACTGTGGTCAGTGTGTTGTTCAAAACATTTCTCTTTCATCACTGCTGAATTCAATCCAGACAACAACACATTTAAGTGTAAGTGTACATATCATATGGTGTCAACTTTTGTTTTCAAAATCTGTCAGCATTTAATAATCCAGTCTGCAGCTTAGTGTGATTTTGTTGTATAATGAAAGTAATAATAAAATAATTACATGGTACTACTGTCACTTATGTGTGGATACAACTGTAGAAATGAAGACAATAGTAAAGAAAGGAGTAAAACTCAGCATTTAAGG